ATCGCGGGGGATCGCAGTTCCCCCGTGTGCCAACTGTCCAGGGTAGGGTTGCCAACTGACCTGGAGAAACATGCCCTGTCCCTTTAACAGAGGTTTAAAGGGATGTCCTTTACCTCCATGCTGTGAAAAGCTTCAGTGGCCCATTTCCACACACCAGGCCACTGTTGAAGGAGCAGTACATTTTTCTCCAGGCCAGTAGCAAGTCCAGATCCACAGGGAGTGATCCTGAACCTCCACTCACAGCTTGTTGTCAGTCTCGATCTTTCCTGAAATCCCAAATGGCTGTTTTCTATGCACAGTGGACTCCTTCCTTCAGCTGGGTGGTAGGCAAATCTTCCCCAAATCTGGCAGGTAAAGCATTCAGACCTACACATCGCTGCAGGAAACTGGCTCCTAACCATTCGCTCTCATGGATAAAACACCAGCTGTGTTAGGCTATGAGCCTCACAAAGGAATCAGTAGCCGGCAACCATAACAATACCTTGATGATAGAAAACCAGTCTGAAGCAACAGGGCAAAGTTTGAGTCCAGTGGTGCCTTTAAGACCAACAAATATTTATTTATTGGATTTTTGGATTTTTATTTATTGGATTTTTACCCTGCCCTCCCAGGGCGGCTTACATAAAATCAATACATAATTTACAATAAAACGTAACTAATTTGAATTAAAACAATTCTAAAATTATTTAAACTACTATTTTCCGGCGTATAAGACGACTGGGCGTATAAGACGACCCCCAACTTTTCCAGTTAAAATATAGAGTTTGGGATATACTTGCCCAGAGACTGTATTTACTGGCGTATAAGACCCCCCCCATTTCTGAGAAGATTTCCCTGGGTTAAAAAGTAGTCTTATACACCAGAAAATACAGTATACAACTCAATAAAGTGCTAATAAAGTGCTAATTCTGGGTATAAGCTTTTCCGTGTGCATGTGCACTTCATCAGATACATTGAAACAGTTGCACATGAAAGCTTATACCCAGAATTAGCACTTTATTAGAAAACCAGTCTGCTTACCTTCTCTGCTGGTTATAAAGCTATTACACAAAAGGGAGAGACAAGCCCACAAAGGGGACAATTGCTGCCATCCCTTTACATTTCCTGATCAACTGTTGCTTTTGAATCTGGGCATTTACAAATGGTTAATTTCTAAGACAGAGGGTCTTCCCTCTGCTTGAGCCCTGCTCAACTTATTCTGTACTCAGGGCAGTGGGGATTTACCTCAGAAGGAATGGCACTCTCCACATGATATGATCCTGGGGAGGCAGCCGTGTTAGTCTGCTTCAACAAGAATAAAAAATAAGGTGTCTTGGGGCACCTTCAGTGCTCACAGAAGTACTGAGAGGAAAGACTGTGTGGGCCAGAAAGCCCGCTTTGTTGGATGTGGAGACAGTATTACCTCACATTTTCCAGAGGCTGAACTTTTGTGAAGCTCTTACTCATATTAAACCCACACAGTAGTGTGAGAAATGCTGGAACCTTTGGCCAGAACTTGACATTTACATGGTGAGGGTGTTAAAACTATACCACAGAACAGGGGTCATTTCGTAGAAAAAGAGCTAGGGGAACTCATTAGCATAACTCATTAGCATATGCCACACCCCCTGACATCAGGGGCCTGGCAGTGGACCTGCAAGGCCGGCGGAAGTGCGAGGAAGCCCCGCCAAGGCCCTCCCTGGCCCCAGGCAGGCAGGGGTGGGGAGAGGCGGGGAGGAAGCAACTTACCCTCCCTCTTCTCCTGCCTCCTCCTGGCTGAATGCGGGCCGGAAGCGGGGCGGCCGGAAGCAGGGGGCGGGGCTTTGTCATGTGCCCCGCCCCCGTACCTCACCCGGGGGAACTGTGTTCCCCCGCGTTCCCCCCCGAAATGACCTCTGCCACAGAACTTGTTGACTCAACTGCTGCCATCTTCTTTAGAGTTACCAACTTTTGAACCAGCTGTCCTTTCCAGCATCAGTTTGATCAAACAGCATTTTGTGCTCTGACTGTCCCTATTGACCAGAGCGGTTTCTCATTTCCTGGCACCTGTCCCTGTTAAACCACTTGTCCCTGTTTTTGTCTTTGGGGGTGATTGCTAGCACTACTATATCCCACAGGGCTTGACCCCTTGCTCAGATTCTTTCAAGGTTAGATCTGCTGGTGGGTAGGTGGAGGTATTTTGTCTCTCGTGCACATGTATGTAAAGTGCATGTGTGTGAACCTGAAGGTACCACACAGCATACAACATACCATTTCATGCACTAGGCACTGAAGGAATTTTTGCACCATTGATAACTTTATTTTTCATGGGGAATTATGTTTTCCAAATATATCTTTATCAAAAGTACAAACGCCTCCTTCACGGTTGAATCGATTGAACAAAGGCTGTTGCAGAGATAATCAATATTTGTCTTAGGATAGTATGGCCAAGTGGTCTATGGCATGGGATTTAGGTTCCAGTCTCTTTGGAGATAACAACAACAACAACAACAACAACTCTTTGGAGGCATGGGTTCAAATCCTACCGCCACCAGGTGTTCTTTGGGAGGGATAGGGTTGCCAGATCCCCCCAGCCACTGGTGGGGGATGGGGGTACAGTGGCCAAAACTAGGTTGGGAAACTCCTAGAGATTTGGGAATGGAAAAGACAGTTGTAGAGCATCTGCTTGGTGTGCAGGAGGTGATGTGGAAGACGTTTGCCTGAGATCCTGGAGAAACACTGCCAGACTAAGTAGACAATACTGATCTTGATGGACCAAGGGTCTGATTCAGTATAAGACAGCTTAATGGGCCCAAGATGTGTCCAATACAGCAGGCAGAGCAGGGATCTATATGGTTATTGTGTGTGAGAAAGGAGGGGCAGGAATGAGCCTTGGTCATATCCTAAATTGTTGCCACAGGAATGGGCAGGTGGCCCACTGGAGCTCCTTGGCAGGAAACGTTTCCCCTGCTGACTTCTGCATATCAGATTTATGTTAAAAGGGCCTGCCTGTAGGGTTGCCAGCTCTGGGTTCGGAAATACCTGGAGAATTATTATTTTTTGGGGGGTGGAGCCTGAGGAAAGTGAGGTTTGGGGAGGGGAGGAACTTTAATGGGGTACGATGCCATAGAGTCCCCCTTCCAAAGTGGCCGTTTTCTCCAGGTGAGCTGATCTCTATGGTCTGGAGATCCGCTGTAATCCCAGGGGGATCTCCAGGCACCACCTGGAGGCTGGTCTATGGCACGGGATTTAGGCTCCAGTCTCTTTGGAGGCATGGGTTCAAATCCCAACCATACCTGCCTGCTCCCCCTGCTAAGCCACTAGTTCACAATTCTACATACGTGTGTGTTTTAGAGTCCCTTTTTCTCTCCCTAATCCAAGGAAGGTCTGGTCTTTCTGGAACAGTAGAGCAGCTTCTGGGATCCAGAGGCATTCTTAAGTGGACTTAGACCCTGCCAAGCCCATTGACTTCCATGGACTTAAAAAGGTAAAGGTAAAGGTTCCCTTGCTCGAAAGCCAGTCGAATCCGACTCTAGGGTTGCGGTGCTCATCTCTGTTTCAAAGCCGAAGAGCCAGTGCTGTCCGAAGACGTTTCCGTGGTCATGTGGCCGGCATGAATAAACACCAAGGCGCAGGGAACGCTGTTCCCTTCCCACCGAAGTGGTACCTATTTATCTACTTGCAATTTCTTGCTCTCGAACTGAAGGTTGGCAGGAGCTGGAACTAGAGATGGGAGCTCACTCCGTCATGTGGCACACTCGGGTCTCAAACTGCTGGACCTTCCACAGCCTGCAGTTCAGCATCTTAACCACTTGAGCCACCGCAGCTCCTCCATGGACTTGGAAGGGTGTAATTCTGTTTAGGATTCAGTTTGATTCCCAACCAGTGCTTCAAGTGGAGGGTGTGTGTGTGTGTGTGTGGGTGTTTGGAGTATGCTCTTTAGCTTGTGGTCTTATTTCATATCAATTAAAAGGGAGCGGGGTGGGGATGGTGTACTAATTTGGGGTTGCCAGTTCTAGCCTGGAAAATTCCTGGGAATTTCTGGGCAGAGCCTGGGGAGGGCAGAGCTTGGGAAGAGGAGGGCAGCCAGGATGTGATGCCACAGAGTCTACCCTCTGAAATTGCCATTTTTTTTCCAGGGGAACTGATCTCTGTAGTCTGGAGATGGTATGCAATTCTGGGTGATCTCCAGATCTTACCTGGAGGTTGGCAATCAGATGTACATCCCTTTCCAAGCACTGGGTACCTCCACAAGACCCTCGAGTGCTTTTGCTTGCAAACCGTGCAACTTTGGTCCAGGCCAATGTAACACGTTATGTGCTCTGTGTGTGTGTGTGGGGGGGGCTATTAATAATGACCCTTCCTAACACACCCCGTTCAAGTGCATGCATCTGGTTGGCCAAGGCATGTTCAACTAGGGAAAAAAGTATTCTCAGCTCCTAGGCTTGGCAAGTCCCCCCGGGGGGCGGGGAAATCCTCAGGGGGAACCCCACCCCGACGAGCACGTCACCCAGAAGTGACGCCACCACGCCAGGCACGCTGGGGGCGGGGCCACGGTCATCCGAGGAAAAACTCTATGGTTTTCCCTCGGATGGTGTGTGTGTGTGGGGATATTAATAATGACCCATTCAAGTGCATGTATCTGATTGGCCAAGGCATGTTCAACTGGGGGAAAAAAGTGTTCTCAGCGCCTGTTTCTCCTTCTGTGGTGGTTTCTTTCATTGTATAGCTGAAGCAGGAGTTATGGGCAAAAATTTTTTTTTCAGTACTCCCCATGTAACTTTTCTGAATTTGAGCCCTCTGAGGAGTAAAGCAGGCAACCCGCTCCTGTAGATTAAAAAGGAATATGAACAGTACAAATGTAAAACACTGACTCCTGTAGTACTTCATTGCAGAAGTGGTCCTATTGCGTTGATGTGAATGCAGAATAACAGCTTTATCCAACATCCCCAAACTGACTCATTTAATGCATTTTGCAATCTTGTTCTAGGAGCTCCAGGAAGAGGAAGCCACAAATTCTTCTCACAGGAAAGAACCCACAGTATGTGAAATACAGGCCAGGATCACGCTGAGCTTCGTACACATAGAGCTTTGGACTCATCATGTCGCATTTCAAGCCTATCTGCTCGATGCTTCGTGTACTGCTGACCCTCTCGATGTGGTCCCACTGGGGTGCTGATTCTTTTGGGCTCAGCCACTGTATCCTTTCCCCCAACAAACCAGGCCTCGCAATCTGTACTTCCCAGGCTATTTCCAACCTGACTTCTGCCATAGCCCATCTGCCTAACTCCACTCACTGGCTCAGTGCTTCGCACAACAATGTAAACAACGTGGCCTCTAAGGCCTTTTCTCATCTTCCTCACTTGTTGGAACTTCTTCTGGACAACAACCACATATCGAGCATTCAGCCAAACGCCTTTCAAGGTCTGGAGGACCTGGAGTTGCTCGATCTGAGTTGGAACCACTTGGCTTACGTGGGGCCTTCCATGTTGGCTGGTCTGAGGAACCTCCGCCAGCTTCACTTGGGTCACAACGACATAACCTCATTGCATCCCAGGGCCTTTGTGTTCCAGATGGCTCTCCAAGGACTTCACCTGTCCAACAACAATTTCTCAGTTCTCCAGGAGGTGGCAACAGCTGTGAAAGGCTTAGCCAACCTTACATTCCTGAATCTAGATTTCAATCAGATCTCCACCCCATGCATGGGTCCCAGCTGGATTGCTCTGCCTGTCCTGAAGAATCTCAGCTTAAACATCAATGGCATTTCAAAGCTGGACTTGTCCAATTGCTCCTTGCCTAGCTTGCAGCAACTGAACCTGACCCATAATGACATGCTGGAAGTGGAGTCTGAATCCTTCCATGCCACCCCTGCCTTGCTGGAGTTGTCCTTGGACATGAACCCCTTTCCCATCTCCCATCTTATCAATCTGACTCTTCCTAACCTTACCATGCTGCACTTGTCCAGTATGAATCAGTCATTAAACCGCACCCTGGCTGCAGCTTGCACTGTCTTCCGGGGCCTCCCATCTTTGACCTCTTTGGACATCAAGCATTCCAAGATTGCGTCCTCTCACTTGAGCCAGTTGGGTTCCTGCGCTAACTTCACGTGGCTGGATCTGTCTACCACCAACTTCAAGCACTTGCCAGGTGGGGCCTTTGACACCTTTCCAAACCTGGAGTTCCTCTCCTTGGACAAGTGTAAATTGCTGACCATCCATGCTAGTGCCTGGGAAAAGCAGAGGCGGCTACATACCCTGATCCTGAGAAGAAATTCTATCTCCCAGCTGGAAAATGCTGTCTTCAAGCCTTTGGTGAGTTTGAGCTATCTGGATCTGTCCAAGAACCGCTTGACCAATCTTCAGAAGAAATCTTTTTTTGGTATGGCAGCATTGCGGAAGCTCATCCTTCAGGGCTGCCAGATCACAGCTGTGACCCGTGACACTTTCGTTTATGCTCGCAAAATGGAGTACCTGGACTTAAGAGATAACAGCATTAAACTGCTCAAGTATTTTGCCTTTGTGGTCCTCAACCACTTGCAGACCCTCCTGCTGTCAGGGAACAGAATCCTCACCATCCAAAGACATGCCTTTAAGGGACTCAGCTCTCTCAGAAGCCTCTCTCTGGATCATAACTACCTCTACAAGCTGCCTACATCGACTTTTGCCAACCTTAAAAAGCTAGAAACATTGGACCTCAGTTACAACTACCTCTTCACATACAACAAGTATGATTATCCTAGCCCTTTTCAGGGTCTCAATACCCTTCACACACTGAACCTCAGTTCTCAGATGCCTAGACTGCCCATCTGTCCTCCGGACAAACTCTTCCAAGGACTTCAGAATCTCCAGCACCTGTCCTTGGGGGACAATCCCAGTGCCTTGTTCCTTAACCTCTCCTTTGTCAACCTGACTAGCCTAGAATCGCTGGATCTCTCTGCCATCTATCCAGGGAGGGAAGGCTTTTGGAGACCTCGTCCAAACCTCTTCCAAGGTCTGAAGAATCTACATCAACTCCAGATACAAGACAACTCTATCAGGGACTTGCCTGAACAAATCTTTTCCGATTTGGAATCCCTGGAGCAGCTCTCCTTGGGCAAAAATGATATGAGGAACATCAGTAAAAAGCTGCTTGGTGGACTCACCTCGCTGAAGTATCTGGATGCCTCTGGAAACCCCCTAACTTGCACATGTGAGAACGTGTGGTTCCATAACTGGTCTATGTCTGAAAAAAATACTCAGGTGGCCTTACTGGGCTCCTATCATTGCTTCAGCCCTGGCTTGAACGATCGTCTCTTTGTCCAGCAAGACTTGTCCTTCTGCTTTGAGACTTGGGAAATGTATTTCTTTGCTGTGACCACGGCGATCATTCTCTCACTTCTGCTTAGTACTTTGGTAAATGCTAAGTTTGGCTGGACCCTCAGGCATGGTTATTATTTGCTGAAGGGCTGGGGCCATAGACAGTTGCATCAGAAAGGACAGGACTATCAGTACGACGCCTACGTTTCCTGTTGCGGGCAGGACTATGAATGGGTGGTGAAGAACCTTCTGGTAAAGCTGGAAGAGGAGGGGGAGCCTACCTTCCGGCTGTGTTTTGGGCCTAGAGATTTTGCCCCTGGAGAGTATTTCATGAACAATGTTCAGAATGGGGTAAGCCAAAGCCGCAAAACTTTGTGCCTGGTGAGCAAAAGTTACCTGGAAAATGAATGGTGCTCGTTGGAAATCCAGCTCGCTTGTTCTAAGATCTACTACCACGGGCAGGACCCACTGGTTGTGGTCTTTCTCGAGGACATTCCGAACTACAGGTAAGTGGGGATTTCTGTGAGAGGTGAGACTTGAATGTGGGATGGTGGGATTGGAGTTCCATCTTCATTTACTGCCTTGCATAGGATGGGGGAGGTTGACATGACAGGGAATGTTGTAGGAATGCTGGTGGGGGAGGGATCCTGTCAGAACAAGTTCTGCACAACATTGTGTGCTTGTATGTGTGTGGTGAGAGGAAGAGTATGTGGTAAGTACACCAGGGAGTAGAAAATCTCAGTCCTGTTTGCCTTCCCTTCTAGACTGTCTCCATATCATCGCCTGAGGAAACTAATCAAGCAAGAGAGCTACATCAGTTGGCCTGAAAATCCAGAGGCTGAGAATGTGTTCTGGGCCAAACTCCGAGAGGCGCTGGAGGACCCTGGAGAACAAGAAGTACAACTCATTCAGTTCAAAGTGACTGAGTAGTGGATGGCATGGAGGGAAACCACCGGTACTGTGATGGTCCTTGAACATAGCCAATGGCCTAGTGTGGCATGAAGTAAATACAATGTAAATATGATGAGAGCCAGTGTGGCGTAGTGGTTAAGAGTCATGGACTCTAATCTGGAGATTACCCATTCCTCCACATGGCCTGCTGGATGACCTTGGACCAGTCACAGTTCTCTCAGAACTCTCTCAGTCTCACCTACCTCACAAGGTGCCTGTTGTGGGAAGAAGAAGGAAAGGCGATTGTAAGCTGCTTTGAGACTCATTAGGGTAGAGAAAAGTGGGGGTATAAAAACCAACTCTTCTTCTTCTAAAGTACTGTTACTTTTAGCCACCACTGACTTTCCAGTTCTAGATGCTGGGATACTATTCAAATGGTCCATCAGTGGCTATTAGCCGCGAGGTATAGATAGGGGCTCTGGGGCAAGTGATGCTCTGTCTTCTTGGTGCTTGGGGGGGGGTCAACAGTGGGAGGGCTTCTAATGTCCTGGCCCCACTGGTGGACTTCCTGATGGCACCTGGTATTTCTGGCCACTGTGTGACACAGAGTGTTGGACTGGATGGGCCTTTGGCCTGATCCAACATTGGCGTCTCTTATGTTCTTATGTTCTTATGGTGCTCTGTGTACAGACATATCAGACAGTGACTGGTGGACATGTTTATTTTCTACAGTGGCAAAATGCCTCAAAGTGAAAAACCAGGGTATGAAAACTTTGAATCTCGCGAGCTGATTCTTAATACTATGACCACAGAATTCATCAACAAGAACTAAAATGTTATGGTTTATAAAAAATATAAATATAATCCAAAAATGAATGATTTTTTTTAAAAAAAGGTTTGAAATTTTAGTGGTAAAATCTGGGAACTTGATCAACTTAGTGCAAAAAGCGTATTTTTGCCCTGGTTAGTACTTGGGGGGGGGGGAGAAGACCACCAAGGAATTCCACGGTCGCTACACAGAAGCAGGCAATGGCAAACCACCTCTGTTTGTCTCTTGTCTTGAAAACCCACAATAAGACCACTGTGACTTAATGGCACTTTTCCACCACTGCTGATGTAATACATCAGTGCAATGGAATTATGGTTTAGTAGTGGGGCAACACCGATACAAATCTACCACACTGGTGTATCTTTAAAGCGGTCATATCCCTGCCCAGAGACTATAAATTGAAGATAAAGTTGCTTTCTAATTCAAACTGATTTTCAGCATTTCCAGTTAGCAATACTATTTGATCTAATCGTTCTAGATAAGGAACCCTGAATGTGTAAAAATATATAATTTGGCAGGACTGGACAAAGGACACCAAGGTTTAGAATACGTGGGCTGTGAACATTTTGTACCTGGGATCTGTGCTGCTGCTCTGGGACAGTGTTTGTGGTTAATTGACCATCGTCTCTTCTCATTCTCTAACCAAGGCTTCCCTCCTGCACAAGAACCACTAAAAGGGCTGTTTTCTCAAGTGGAAACAGCCTCTAAAGAAACTGTCCTGAACTGCTTGAAAAGGTGTGTGTGTGGGGGAGTAAACATTGACAATGATATCCTGGTCTTTAGATTCAGGTGGGTAGCCTTGTTGGTCTGAAGCAACAGAAAAAAATCCGAGTCCAGTGGCACCTTTAAGACCAACAAAGTTTTATTCAAGGTATAAGCTTGCACACCTGTTCAACAAAGGTATAGTGCATGCACACGGAAACTTATACCTTGAATAAAACGTTGGTCTCAAAGGTGTTCTGGTTCATGAGCTAGATTTTATGGCTTTGCAGTACCAGAGGTCATTTCGGGGGGGAACGCGGGGGGCCCCCGGGGGAGGCTGAGCACCTTCCTGAAAATTTCGGTGGGGGCTGAAGCCCCGCCGCCCCCACGAAGATTACGCCTTACTCACTATTTCTAATCATTAGCCAGTTGTGTGAAATGACGGGTATATCTGCTTATCTATATTCTCACACCCTGCACCTGCCCAACACACACTTCTCTTTTGTTCCAACACACACTTCTCTTCTGTTGTTTTCACCCAGCTCCACGGATTCAAACTCTACCTGTGTACAACCCGCATAATTCTCATCAGGAGAGAAACTCCGTGAATTAGTTCAATGACCCCTGTGCAGTACTTACTATTTCTAATCATTAACCAGTTGTGTGAAATGACGGGTGTATCTGCTTATCTATATTCTCACACCCTGCACCTGCCCAACACACACTTCTCTCTTGTTCCAACACACACTTCTCTTCTGTTGTTTTCACCCAGCTCCACGGATTCAAACTCTACCTGTGTACAACCCGCATAATTCTCATCAGGAGAGAAACTCCGTGAATTAGTTCAAAGTATGTACTTAGCTCCTCTGACTGGTAACTTAATTCCCCTGAGTGGAGTTTTAAGCTTTTCTAGATTCTTATCTGTGCGGGGGGGGGGGCAGTGGCAGGAAGAGGGGCTGTAGGTAGACGAGCTATGGAGTGGGAGGATGGGCCGGGATGAAGGAAGAAGCTTGGCCCTGACATCTTAAGCCCATTAATTTCTTGGTTGCCAGGGGAGACCGATGCTCCTTTCTGCATCACCAGCGGATTTGGCAAATTGGACAGGAAGGAGAGGCAGGAAAAGCACAAATCCCAGGGGCCTGCAATGCCGGGGGCACCTGCTGGCAGGTTGGCCTTGCTGGCAGTCAGGTGCAGAGAGCAGAGAGAAAGAAAGCCTCCACTTGCTGAGGTGGCAGGACAGACTCTTGGGGAAAGACCAGACATGTTTTCTGGCTCTGCTGACTCAATGTGACTTCAGGAGATTGCCCGCCATAATCTCTAACTGGAATATCTTCTACTTTCTCATCAAAGACCTGAGGATCTCCTCCCTAATAGAGATCTTTGAACTGGATTATGGTGGCACAGAAGGGATTCTTGGATTCTTGCTGGTTTCTGTGACAGGGTCTTTGTGATCGATGCCGCATCTACGTCTGCTCTGCAACGGGAACCTTAATCTCTAGACCGGTGGATTCTAAGTGGAATCGCCCCTGTTCTTCAAGGCCATTCTTGGCAGCTTCCTCTCTTCCATCTGTCAGAGACAGCTGTGGAAATGGCCTTGCGGTGGGCGCTGCTCTGCCTCATCTGTTCCCCACTGGTGTTGGCATCTGACTATGGCTTACCTAAATTCATCTGCAGCCCTATGCCGCTGGATATGGAGCACGGTTGCCAGTCAGCCAGTCAGCAGCGACATGGACCAGGGGCAAACAATGGAGCAAATGGGCACTGGGTGGGGACCCTGGAGGAAGCCAAGGAAACAATCTTACACCTGCGGGAGACAGTGGTGCACCAAAAGGAGATGATCCTGGACCAAAGGGAGACGGTGCGAGAGCTGACAGCCAAACTCAGCCGCTGTGAAGCCCATTCGCGGAGACACATTGGAGAACACCATGGCGTTCACCATGAAGTGAACCACAGCCACGGCCATCATGAGGGCGGGCACCAAACCCACCATGAGGGCGGGCACCAAACCCACCACGAGGGCGGGCACCAAACCCACCACGAGGGCGGGCACCAAACCCACCACGAGGGCGGGCACCGAGCCCACCACGAGGGCGGGCACCGACCCCACCATGAGGGTGGACATCCTCATGGTCACAGGGGACATCATGAGGACGGGCATCCGGGGCATCATGAGAACGCTCATCAGGGCCACCATGAGGCTGGACATCAGAGCCACCATGAGGATGCTCACAGGTTGCACCATGAGGATGCCCACCGAGATCTCCACAAAGGCATCCATGCCCGGGAGAATGAGTACCACCATTTTGGACAACGAGAACACCATGAACACCAGTTAGGGCACAATACTCATGATGCCTTTCGTAAGGGGGCCACAGCTGTCAACACCATGGAGGATCCACCCAAGGAGACTACTACTGGGGTGCACCAGATGGAGAGGATGCTGGAATCCCTCAAGGAGAGGCTGGAGCATTTACAGGTACCAAGCCTTGTGAGTCAGTCACCTCCCCTTGAGAAAATATATCCCATATATTTCTCGGTGCATTTATTTATTCTCCTTTTATCCACCTATCTATTCCTTATCCAGTGATTCACCCCCTGTCCAGCCTTACACTATTCCCCATACCCGTCTCCCATCCCTTTCTTCCTCCTTTCCCATCCCTTCTCCATCAATTTACCTTTACAAAAACTCACCTGTTAAGCCAGCTGTCTATCATTCTTGTATTTCTTTACACTTATCACATTTCATGTTTATTCTTCATCTAATTGTCCATCCTTCCCCAAAACTCTTTGTCAATTGAACACCACAAACCATCCCAATCGATGTTATGCATCCTACCATTCACTGTCCTGGGAACAGCATTCCTGTTATCTTACCTATCATACAAAACCCTTATAAACTCTGCTTTTCTAATGTTGCTTCTAACTTGATCTGGAAAACTCAGGCTAGCTCCATCTTATCAGCTCTTGGCAGCTTAGCAGGTCTGGCCCTGGCTAGTACTTAGATGGGAGGTCACCAAAGAAGACCAGGGTTGCTATGCAGAGGTAGGCAATGGGAGGCCACCTCTGAATCTCTTACATTGACAACCTTATGGGGTTGTCATAAATCAGTGGTGACTTGACGGGACTTTCCACCACCCATGTTGTTCCTCCACTAGCTCCCCGTCCCCACCAACCTGCCTTCTCTGGCATCAAGTTTATCTGCTGTCTCTTCACATCTGCACAAAGGCAAATATGCATTCCTCTTATCTCAGAATCCCAGAGTAATGATTTTGATGTCACATCTGCAATTTAATCCTTGGAAAACCCCTCCCATCAGCAGACTACCTGAATGAGAAAAATCACAAAGTTGATAATCCCTAGGGAAAAAAATATCCTGGATCCCATTTCTTCATGACTCCTGTTTCAGGGGGTTGGACTAGATGACCCTGGAAGTCCCTTCCAACTCTATGATTCTGTGATTCATTATGTTGTATGCTAATTTGCTGCTCACCCTCAACCTATACGTATGGACTGGTAACTTCCATTTCATTGTATCTTAAGAAGTGAGTGCGCACACGACAGTTTATACCTGGAATAAAACTTTGTTGGTCTTAACGGTGCCACTGGACTCAAATTTTGGCCTGTTTAGTTAATTCACATGTACCTAAACATAAATGCCCACCCATTTGCTCTTGCATCTCTTTTTCTATCTGTCTAGAGGCAAGTCCATTAACCCTTCTTCATCTCTCTATCAAACACAAGCATGAAATCACAGTTCTAAATCTGTCCTATAAAACTATCAGTTTTTACATTTAGGAAGACTTCTGAACATTTCTGTCCTAAACCTTGTAGTGCGATTCCTCTCACCCTTGTTCCAGTATTTGAGGTAGGGTTGCCAGCCTCCAGGTGGGGCCTGGAGATCTCCCACATTTACAACTGATCCCCATCTGACAGAGATCAGCTCCCCTGGAGAAAATGGCTGCTTTGAAGGGAGGACTCTATGGCATTGTACCATGCTGGGGCCCCTCCCCTCCCCAAACCCCGCCCTCTCCAGGCTCCACCCCCAAAGTCTCCAGGTATTTTCCAATCCAGACCTGGCAACCCTAATTTGAGGTGCTGGGAACTAAAATTGCCTGCTGCCTTCTTTGTGTTTTAAATAGGCAGAGATTGCAACTGATCTAATTTTTAATCTTCTTTCCTCCAGGCTAAACATACACAGCTTTCTTAACCTTTCCTCGTGTGACACACTTTCTAAACCTTTGGGTCATATCTTATTCACTTGCCATTTACTCATTCATCCTGTACTTCTTTCTTCCAACCTTATTTAATATTATTAGATAGATAATAATTCATTCAAAGGTGAGGCTGGTGATATTGAACAGCCATTGTTGCTCATGGGTGAGGCACTCATCTCGCTGCCATTTCTAATAAACACGTTCTGGATTATTATTTTTTCCAGTGTTTTAAAACCTGCAGTATCTGTTAAAGGTGAGGCAAAACAGACCCCAAGGAATGAGTGTAAACACCATGGGCAGGTATGGCCTCTCTCAGACTCACACTACCTTTCACACCTAGGGATGCCAGCCTCCAGGTGGGACCTGGGGATCCCCTGGAATTACACCTTATCTACAGACCACAGAAATCAGTTCTTCTTGAGGCAATGGGTGCTTTGGAGGCTGGACTCTATGTCAGTGTACTCTCCTGAGATCCCTGTCCTCCCCAGGCTCTTATCACCAAATCTCCAGGTGTTTCCCAACCTGAAACTAGTAAACGTACCCTGCCACCCCCAATCGTCCACCCATGGCCAGGGTGGACATGGCAACCCTTCATCTTTAAAAAATGTTGCCTGTCTCCAGTCATATGAGAAGGGGGCAGGTGCTACTGAACTACTACAGAATTCTGACCAAATATTTCACTACATTTGTCCCTGGGATTAGAAGTATATTTCTCTCCTTGAGAAGGAGAGAAGGAAGGCTTTCTTGAAAGGGTCAAGACGGAGGCCGTTCTGTGGGTGATGTTACCTCATGTATTAGGAGGAGTATGGGAATAAGGGTTTTTTTGAGGATTGATTTTTCCTAGGGTCAAAAATTCTCCTGAGTACCTGGTTGTGAGTAGGAATAGATGGGTACAGACCAGTACTACTGGTCACTAATATATTTAATAATCTAAAGGTCAAGAGTTACTGTTGTTTTATTTTATTTACGTAATTTATACTCCACCTTTCTCACTTGGACTCAAGGCGGATTACACAGAGTGATTCAATACAATTGACAGGATGGGATATTCGGGATTAGGGTTGTAGAACTAATCAGAAATCTAAAGATAGAACTGAAGCAAAGCATAAGTCTCAACATGATACATTATTAAACGATACAAAGATTACATCGTAGGATCCTAGTTTCAGTAAGCTAAACACAATAGTATAGGCCACAGTTCCTAACAATTTATCTAAGTAATTCTGTGAATCATTTAGTACAGTGGAACTATTGCCTGTGTAGAAAAGCTCTCATTTATCTCATTTTTCCTTATGGATCCTAAGCACAGACGTCAGACTTCCAGCTTTACCATGGCTGCGATCATACGGACAATTAGACCCGACATAGGTGCAAATGCCGGGTGGATTTAAAGGGCGCAATCAGACAACAGCATCTGGGAAGCGCCCCGCAGCCATAGGCAACCCGTTCTGCTCCGCCGCAGAAGCAGAGTTAAAAGACAGTGGGGAAAATCCGGTAGTTAATGGGTTGCAATGGCCACAGACGGACTTTCCCATGTCTGACCGCTCCAGAGCGCTCTCGTGGCATCGGGATGGTCTGATCAGGCCATCCGGACTCCATGCCGTTGCCCCCCCCTCCCCGCAGTATGCACAACATCGCAAACTCCATAGGGAGGCCTTGGTGCGGAGGTGTGCTTCATCGATCCCTTGGGTAAGCGCATGGGGGGGGGGGAAATGCCACAACCCCAACCTCTGACTCACCCGCAGTTGCGTCTGATCACGCAGTGACAGACTGCGCCCACAGCTTCAAAGGGAGGTGTGATCGGGCAACTGGGGTCAAATTTCTCCGGAGGAAATAGCCTCGCTTCCCCCACCCCCCGTTTTTTCCTGGTGTATGTGAGGCAACCAGTGTTCCCTCTAAGCTGAGTTAGTGTGAGCTCACAGTTTTTTAGCCTCCGACTCACACATTTTTGTCTTAGCTCAGGAAGGAGGGCTCCAGAGCAAACTAATCCGTGCAGTAGCCAAATCGCCCGCTCACAACTTTCATGCCGGTAGCTCACAAAGTAGAATTTTTGCTCACAAGACTCCAAAAGCTTAGAGGGAACATTGAACCCATCCCTATCTTTGTGAGAAGGAGAGAAGGATGGATGAGTTTGTTAAAAAAAAAATTGACTTACAAATCCAATTCTGGCTTCGGAAATTCCTGAAGACTTGGGGGAGTACCTAGAGAACTCAGCAGAGGTGTGATGATGCCATAGAGCAGTGATGGCAAACCTTTTAGAGACCGAGTGACCAAACTGCGACCCAAAACCCACTTATTTATCGCAAAGTGCCAACACGGCAATTTAACCTGAATACTGAGGCTGTACTTTAGAAAAAACAACTCATTCGTTAACTTAAGATGTTCCAAACAAAGTTAACTTAAGATGTTCCAAACAAAGTAAGGAAAGCAATCCCAAATGCTTTCATTTACTTAAAATTATTTGGCAGAGAATTCGACACTTTAATGATGGTCTGGGCCTGGCTGGGGCGATGGCACGCGTGCCCAGAGAGGGCTCTGAGTGCCACCTCTGGCACCCGTGCCATAGGTTCGCCACCACTGCCATAGAGTGTGCCTTCCAAAGCTGCCATTTCCTTCATGAGAACGGATCTATATTGTGTGGAGATCAGTTGCAGTTTTGGGAGAGTTCCAGGCCACAGCTGGAAGTTGGCAACGCTAGGCACAACCCTCTTGTGATGATCTGAAGCTACTTAAGGTGGCAGAGCATTGTAGGCTCTGTTGATAAAACCAAAAAGTGGAACTTACATTGGCACTGTTTCTGTCACTGTCATATATACTTAAGCTTTTCACCATAAGTTATCCTACCAGCTATGGCCTGTCCCTCTCTCCTCCACCCCTTTGTAACCCTCCCCCATTCTTCTGTTAAGTCCCCTTAAGAGACCATCCCCCTTTCAGCCCCCCCCTGTCATGTTTGCACCCAGTGTCCCAGGTACCTACGCCCATTCTTCTGCCTAGGACCACTTAAGCTTTTGGGAAGGCTCACCGGCTTTGGCTGGGATGGCCCAGACAGACCAGCCTAATCTTGTCAGATCTCGGCCACGGTTAGTACTTGGATGCAGGGCTTTTTTTGTAGAAAAAGCACAGCAGGAACTCATTAGCATAATAGGCCACACCCAACAGCAGGAACTCATTAGCATATTAGGCCACACCCCTGACAGCACAGCTCATTGGCATATTAGGCCGCATTCCCATGTTACCAGAAGTGTGGTCATCCAGCCACACC